CTTCAGGTTCAGTATCTTGTACTGTATATTATGATTTGGTCTCGGCGCGGTGTTGATGCAGGACCGTAAGGTGATTTCCTACGCGTCCAGACAGTTGAAGGTGAATAAAAAGAACTATCATGTCCACGACCTTGAGCTAGCAGCCATTGTTCATGCCTTGAAGATATGGCGGCACTATTTGTATGGTGTCCCTTGTGATATCTACACCAATCACCGGAGTTTGCAGCATCTGTTCAAGGAGAAGGATCTTAACTTGCGTTAGTGGAGGTGGTTGGAGCTGCTTAAGTACTATGATATCACCATTTTGTACCATTCCGGGAAGGACAATATGGTGGCCGATGCTTTGAGTCGCCGGGTAAAGGGTTTGGGGAGCTTAGCATATCTACTAGCAGTAGAGAGAACCATGGCGTTGGATGTTCAGGCCTTAGCCAGCCAGTTTGTGAGATTGGATATTTCTGAGCCGAGTCGAGTGTTGGCTTGTGTGGTCTCTCAGTCTTCTCTTTATGATCGTATCAGGGAGTGTTAGTATGATGATCCCCATCCGCTTGTCCTTAAGGACATGTTCCAGCACGGTGATGCTAAGGAGGTCACTATTGGGGATGATGGTGCATTGAGGATGCAGGGCAGGCCATGTGTGCCTAATGTGGATGGCTTGCGTGAGTTGATTCTCCAGGAGGCTCACAGTTCGCGGTACTCCATTTATCCGGGTGCCACGAAGATGTATCAGGACTTGAGGCAGCATTACTAGTGTAGGAGGATGAAGAAGGACATAGTGGAGTATATGGCTCGGTGTCTAAATTGCCAGCAGGTAAAGTATGAGCATCAACGGCCAGGTGGACTGCTTCAGAAGTTAGAAATTCCGGAGTGGAAATGGGAGCGAATCAATATGAATTTTGTTGTAGGACTTCCACGAACTCACGGGAAGTTTGATGCAGTTTGGGTGATTGTGGATAGGCTGACCAAGTCAACTCATTTCATTCCTGTGACGACTACCTATTCTTCCGAGCAGCTAGCTCGAGTCTATATTCGAGATATTGTCAGACTTCACGGCGTGCCAATATCTATCATCTCTGACCGGGGTACGTAGTTTACATCACGATTCTGGAGGGCTGTACAGCATGAGTTAAGTACTGGGGTTGAGTTGTGCACAACATTTCACCCTCAGACGAATGGACAGTCCGAGCGCACTATTCAGATTCTAGAGGATATGCTCCGTGCGTATGTGATGGAGTTTGGAGGTTCTTGGGATCAGTTCTTGCCACTTGCGGAGATTGCCTACAACAATAGCTATCAGTCTAGCATTCAAATGGCACCGTATGAGGCTCTGTATGGTAGGTGGTGTCGGTCTTCAGTGGGTTGTTTCGAGCTGGGCGAGGCTAGATTATTGGGTACAGACTTGGTTAAGGATGCTTTGGAGAAGGTTAAGGTGATCCAGGATAGATGTCGCATAGCCCAGTCCAGACAGAAGAGTTATGCCGACCGGAAGGTTTGCGATGTTGCATTCATGGTTGGAGAGCGGGTCTTGCTCCGGGTTTTACCTATGAAGGGCATTATGAGGTTCGGAAAGAAGTAAAATATGAGCCCAAGGTTTATTGGTCCCTTTGAGGTGTTGCGGCGAGTTGGGGAGGTTGCTTATGAGCCTACCTTACCTCCTAGCCTAGCAAGAGTTCATCTGGTATTTCATGTTTCTATGCTCCGGAAGTATCACGGCGATCCGTCTCACGTGTTGGATTTCAGATCAGTCTAGTTGGACAAGGATCTATCTTATGTTGAGGAGCCAGTGGCTATTTTTGACAGGCAGGCTCGAAAGTTGAGGTCAAAGAACATTGCATCAGTGAAGGTTCAGTGGAGGGGTCAGCCGGTCGAGGAGGCGACTTGATAGACCAAGCAGGATATGTGCAGCCGTTATCTTCAAGTTTTCACCACTTCAGGTATGTCTCTATACTCGTTCGAGGACGAATGATGGTTTTAAGAGGGGGAGGATGTAATGACCCGGCCGGTTTTTTTGAGAGTATTAGCCTCGATCCCCATTTACTGCCTTCCCCGTATCAGTTTCAGCTTATGTGACTTGCGGGGATGTTTAATTTTTTGGTTTTGGAGTGTTTTGAACATTAAGTCTTAGGATTTTTGACCGTAGTCAGAACTATGTGAAGACGATTCCGGACTGGGGTTTTGTCGGTTCCGTTAGCTCCGTTGGGTGATTTTGGACTTAGGGGCGTGTCCGGATTGTGTTTTAGAAGTCTGTAGCTTATTTAGGCTTGAAATGGCGAAAGTCGAATTTTTGGAGAATTTGACCGATAGTGGACTTTTTGACATCAGGGTTGGATTCCGATTCCGAAAGTTGGAGTAGGTCCGCAGTGTTGAATATGACTTGTGTGCAAAATTTGGGGTCAATCGGACGTGATTTGATATGTTTCGGCATCGGTTGCAGACATTTAAAGTTTTAAGTTCTTTAAGTTTGAAATGGAGGGTGATTCATATTTTTAGTGTTGTTTGATGTGATTTGAGGGCTCGGCTAAGTTCATATGGTATTTTAGGACTTGTTGGTATATTTGGTTGAGGTCCCGGGGGTCTCGGGTGTGTTTCGGATGCTTAACGGATTGAGTTTTGGACTTATGCAATTGCTGAAGCTATATGAGTTCTGGTGTTTTTGCACGTACGGAGGGATCGCACGTGCGGAGAGGCAAACGCAAAAGCGGAAAGGAGAGGAGCAGCCAGGGTTTGCAGGTGCGAGGGCAATGCCACATCTGCGATGCCCGCAGAAGCGCTCAACAACCCATAGGAGTGGAAGAAGACCGCAGAAGCGGACCAGGTTCCGTAGGCGCGCACTCGTAAGTGTGGCCCCTTTCTTAGTATATGCGGACCCATCCCTTTAACTCATTTTCGCACATGCGAGGGGAATTCCGCAGGTGCGATTGTTGGCCCGCAGATGCGAAATCGCTGGGCAGAAAAGGGATAAGTTCGAGGGTTTGATTTCATTCTCCATTGTTGGACCTAGAGAGCTCGGATTGAGGAAACATTTCGAGGGTTTTTCATAGGAAGCTTATGGGTAACGATTCTTAACTATTTAATGGTTATATCTCATTAATCTATAATTAATTCTATCCTTTAATTAGGGATTTGTGTTGGAAATTGGAGGAAATGGTAAAGACTTCCTTGACTAAGTTTTTGAGATTTGAAAGGCGATTTGAGGTTGAATTTGAGAAATTCTTGTATGGCTGGACTCGTGAGTAAATGGGTGTTCGTATTTTGTGACTTTTACCCGATTCCGAGACGGGGTCCCGGGGAGACTTTTTAGGGCGATTTTTTAATTTCTTGCGTTATCTTTGATTTCATTAACTATATTAGTTTCTTATTGTTATATTTATGATATCTAATTGATTTTGGCTATATTTGGGCCATTCGGAGTCAGATATTCGTGGAAAAGGCATTGTTACCGATTGATTGAGCTTGGTTCGAGGTAAGTGGCTTGACTAACCTTGTGTGGGGGAAATCCCCTTAGGAAATGGTGTTGTTATGATATGTGAGCGCCATGTACGCGAGATGACGAGTGCGTACACACGAGCTATTTGTTGAAAAACCTTATTTTTACTGAGTAGTAGCCTGTTTTCATCTTATCTGAGTATACTAGTATGTGTATTTCTCCTGTTAGCCTAGAATAGCATGTTGACGTGTCTTAATTGCTTATCTGAACTCTTTGCATCATGTTATGCGAATTCTGCTTCTTTTCTTGACTTACTTAGTCTAAATTGTAGTTTTCCTTGCTGTAACTGTTATCTTCATTTGTTTGAGCAGCGTATTTACTTTGGGACTACGGGACGGTATCTCTGGTGATCCCCCTACAGATTTACTTTTGAGACTACAAGGCGGTTCCTCGGGAGTTCTCCCTGCACATTTACTTTTGAGTCTACGAGGCTGTACCTCGGGAGAGCTCCTTGCATATTTATTTTGGGACTACGAGACGGTATCTCGGGAGCTCCCCTACTGTTTATCCCTATGTTCTATATTGCTACTTTGCTATGTCATTATTTGTTTCAATTCTAGTCTTTTATTATATTGTACATTCTTTTGCTTTATTTATTTTAAACCAGTGGGCCTGACCTGACCTCGTCACTACTCGACCGAGGTTAGGCTTGGTACTTACTAGGTACCATTGTGGTGTACTCATGCTACTTTTCTGCACATGTTTTCGAGTGCAGATCCAGGTACATCATTCCAGCCTCGCTATTAGTTGTGCACCTGCTGCTGTTACGGAGACTTCAAGGTACATCTGCCGCGTCCGCAGACCTAGGAGTCCCCCTCTATCTTTTGTGTAGTTATTCCCCTATTACTTCTAAACATTGATGTATAGTACTTTTAGTAAATTCTTAAAAACTTCTGACTTATGATGTTCCGGGTCTTAGGGAAAGTTTTGTATGTATTTTTTTGGGAGTTGCTTTTGTATATGCCGAGTGGCATTTCTATCATTTGTTTCATTATGGTACTGTTAGTGGTTTTGATTTATTGTTCATTTGTTGTTATTGCACAAATATTAGGCTTACCTAGTCGTAGAGACTAGATGCCGTCGCGACCTCTCACAGAGGGAAGATTGGGTCGTGACAATCCAATATACATAGTAATTGTTAATATTTCACAAACCTGATTGCAGATTCCAAAACTTATAAGCTTTTTTGTTAATTAAACTAATTAACATGGGATACACGTGCAATGTACATGTTCGAGAACTAGTATTATTATAAAAGTGGGAAGCCCTATACTAAAAAGTCAAATTACTTTATTACCCTTAGTAGTGTCACGACCCAAAATTCACAATAGGTCGTGATGGAGCCTAATGTCGCCGTCAGGCAAGCCAACGTTGATTTATCAGTTTAATTACTCATTTTATTACTTTGATATTACAATTTCCATTAATTATATAGTACCAAATAGAATTTACAGGGTGAAATAATAAAAATTCCATGAACCATCATGCTAAACCTCTAGTAGAAACCCCCAAAATCCGGTGTCACAAGTGCATGAGCATTTTTCTAAGGAATACAATAAATATACATCATCCGTCCGGAATGTAATAAGACAGAATAAAAATAGAAAATACAATGGAGACTCGGTGGACTACGGTGCGTAGCCTGGAGTGCAGCTCACATAAAGTCTCCTCAACCGGTGCGCCTACACGCCAAGATGATCATCAAATGACCTGTCAGATCTTGCACATTTAGTGCAAAACTGCAGCATGAGTACGTAAATCAATGCGTACCCAGTAAGTATCTAGCCTAACCCCGAAGAAGTAGTGACGCGGGGGTCGATATCGATACTTACTATAGGTCTAATATAGCAATATATTAAAGCATAAGCAGATATGAAGCACGTGAAAAATATAGGGTAAATCTGTAAGTTACATAATCCTCCAATTATTTCCTACCTTAATATCTCAGAATTATGCCAAGTGTCAATACAAATTAAGTAAGAAATACCATAAAATGTCGGGCATCAGTGGAAGGTTTATCTCGTAAATATTCAGACTACTAGCGATATCACGCATGATTCTGCCAGGGTCGTTCGGCCTGATCCAGAATAATGTATACACTGCCGAGGGTCGAGCGGCACAAACTGCCGAGGGTCGAGCGGCACAAACCACAGATGCATCTATATACTGCCGAGACGGCCGACCCGCTCCACAAGAAAGGATGGAAGTTTTTGAATCACAAGATACGTGTTTACAATACGGTACATGAGCACAATAAATAGTACACCCCTTTGCATTTATCGAATATTTTTTAAACAAATCAAGGTGATAAAGCTTGGCCTGATACTTTTATTTCTAAATCGATTTCAATTATATTTTCAATTAATTAAGCCAACAAAATAAGTTCTTGTAATTCAAATATTGCATGATAGAATCTTAAGTCTACCCGGACATAAGCATGCTTTAGCAACGTACGGACTCTCATCACCTCGTGCCTACGTAGCATCCACAACTAGTTGCACATAACAATAAATATCACCTAAGGGGTAGTTTCCCGCTTACAAAGTTAGACAGAAGACTTACCTCGCTTTGTAACCAAATTCAAGATTCCAATAAACCTTTGTCTCACGAATTGGTATCTGAAAGCTTCAAATCTAGTCACAAATAATTCAATACACTCAACACGAATCGTAGAAATTAATTCCATATGAAATTACCAATCTTTCGAATAAAATTTCGAAATTCATCTCAAAATTCAACAGTGGGACCCACATCTCGAATCTTAGAAAAACTCACGAAATTTGAACACCCATTCCGAGATGAGTCCAACAATACAAAAATTATCAAATTCCGACATCGGATTTCCTTTCCAATCTTCATTTTGTATTTTTGGAAGATTTTATAAAATTTGATTTTTCTTCCATTAACTCACATATTCTTGATGTAATTAAGTATGGAATCATGAAATATAATCAATATAGGATAAGGAACATTTACCCTAATATTTTTCCTTGAAAATCTCTCAAATATCTCCCTTTCCCAAGCTCCAAATCTTTAAAAATGGAAGTCCCATTTTGAGAACTTAAATCTGCTGCCTAGTCATTTACCCTTTGTGATCACGGTCAAACTCTCACGACCGCGAAGCAGAAAATTTTTCCAGCATTATTTTTACTCTATGCGATCGCGACCATTCTCTTGCGACCACGAAGAACAAATTTTTCCAATAACCTTCTCCAACTCTTCCGGACAGCCTCTAGTATAGTGGTCATAACTTTTTGTACAAAACTCCGAATAATAAATGGTTTAATTTTGTGAAAACTAGACACCAAGATCTACAACTTTTATGTTTTGGACATCTCCCAATTCCTTATAGATTTCGAGATATAAACTATGGTCAACTCTTTCAACATAAGCCTCCAACTTAGGGACTATGTGTCCCATTTCACTCCAAAACACACCTAAAACCAAAGCCAAACACCTCGACAAATTACATAACCACAATATAACTTAGATGAGGCAATAAATAGGGGATCGGGGCTAAAATACTCAAAACGACCGGCTGGGTCGCTATAAAAAAGTCTTTTCTATTACCATTACCAACAATAGAGTGCCAAATGCTAGACAATAGATTCATTATCATGCAATTCCAATGTTCTGAGAAACCAAATTTCCTAAGAACTAAAGTTACAAAATTCCAATAGAGTCTATCATATGCTTTAGCCATATAGAGTTTCAAAATAACATTATCACCATTATTATTCTTAGTAATGTATTGAACAATTTCCTGTGCTAAGAGGACATTTTCCGAAATAAGCCTGTCTCTAACAAAATCACTCTGATTAGCACTAATTAATCTGGCCAATAGAGGATTGAGTCTAATAGAGATAATTTTTGAAATAATCTTGTTAGTGAAATTAGATAGACTGATAGGCCTAAAATCACTAAAGGATAAAGGAGAGTCAATTTTAGGAATAATCACAAAGCAAGTATCTGTATAATACTTAGTCAGAGGGATACATTTGAAGAAGCCCCAAACAAGGTCATTGATGTCATCTTTGATAATGTCCCAACAGGTATGGAAGAAAGTGTCATTGTATCCATCAAGTCCAGAAGCACTGGTGGCAAACAAACTAAAGACTGCATGTCTTATTTCATCCATATTAGGCTCTTTATCCAAATTGTCCTTGTCTTATTGAGTGATCTTAGTGGAGATGCAGTTCAGTTTAGAAAGGTCAAGAGTAGGAGTCAGAAGATTGAAGTTGGAGTTGAAATACCTAATAGCAGCCTTGGCTATTTTCTCTTCACCTTGAACCCAATTGCCTTTGTGATTTTTAATCATGTTCAATTGCATTCTCCTTCTTTTTTATCTAAGCTTGCTATGAAAAAACTGAGTGTTTCTGTCTCCTTCCTCAAACCACTGGATATTGGTTTTTTGGCTAATTAGGAGTCTTGCATGTTCAACCATCTGATGTATTCTGCATGAGCTTTGTTGGTTTCTTCCCTGCCATCCTCAGTATTGTTGGTAATTTTATTTCCTCTAGATTCTGAATTTTTTTCCATTCAAGGACATGAGTATGAATGTTTCTAATTTCTTCTCTGGACCATTAATGCAATCTTTTACTAAGTAATTTCAGTTTGGATTGAAGTCTCCACATACTATTTCCATTGATATCAGTATCCCATACTTAACTATATTGAGAAAGCCTTTCTGCTTAGTCCAAAATTTTAGGAATTTAAAGCAACTAATGTGATTGGTAGAAGTATCAGAAGTGGCATGTGATCAGATCCTTTCCTCACTCGATGCTTGACGGTAGTATTTTGAAATTTCTGAGTTCATTTATCATTGACAAAAAATCTATTAAGCCTTTTCCAGATTCTTTTCCTTGGTCTTCTATTGTTGCACTAGTGAATTTAGAACCACAATAGCCAATATCAGTAGTGCCACAGCTATCCATACAGTTCTAGAATTCCAAGCTTGTGTGCATCCTATGAGGTCTTCCACCCAGCTTATCCTGAAGATCAAGAATAACATTGAAGTCCCCCCCCCCCCCCCC